ACACTCCTTTCCTGGGAGGAGGGCGAGATGACCCTGCAGTGCAAGTCTAGGGGGGGCTATCCCAAGGCTGAAATAACATGGCACGATGGGAACAGAAACAGGCTGAACCAGTCGGAGCCGGCAGAACTTCGTCGGGGCAGTGAGGGAGTGTTCGAGGTGCAGAGCCGCCTGGTGGTGACCGGCCCTGAGGACAGCACCTTCTGCTGCTCTCTGATCCACGCCCCCTTTAATCAGAACCTGAGTGTCTGTGAGAGAGTTACAGGTAACAGTGACAAGCCTCGGCCAGCGCTGGGGTGCACCCTCCCTGATACACAGGGTAGACAGGGCACCGCAGACATGCAGCCACCTCTGGGGTGGAAGGCAGGGAAGGGTTTCATTTGGGCACAGGATTAAATTTTGGCTTGTCTGAAAGTTGCCAGGGGGAGGTTGTGGCAGGAACTTTAACCTCGGCCCACAGCAAACAGCATGTTGCGGTTTGCAGGCTGTGTCCGGAAGGAAAAACCAGGATGCAGTGAGCTCCTGGGACTCCGTTTTTCTCTGTGATGGGCTGGGCTGATGCTGCCAGGAATCAAGGCGGGCTAGCTGGGAAAAGAGGTGTTTTTACACTTTGACACCATATGGGGCCATTCCCTCTCCCATGCGGGCCAGGGACTCCATGCTCATTCTGGTGAGTGACAGAGTCCTCTCTTCCCCGGGAGACTCCCCACCTGTCGCTGTCTGAGGCCACGTCTATGCTACGGGGACTAGTGACATCACCAGGGTGCTGGAGCTCGGTTGGGATAACCCTGTCGTGCAGATACAGCCTGTGCCGATGGAAGGGGTTTTCTGTCACTGGAGGAGCTCCACCTCCCCGAGCGACTGTAGCCAGGTTGAGGGACGCATTCATCTGTCAGCCCAGCCAGCATCTACACCGGGGGCTAGCTCGGCATAGCGGCAGCGCTCAGGGCTGTGCATTTTCACACCCGAGTGCCGAAGCTGCGTTGACTAAATTTGAAGCGTAGGCCAGGCCTGAATGACTATGCACTGGCAGGAGATCCAGTCCTCAAAGTCTTTTCAGAACCATTGTGAAATGATCCCACATGCCTAGTATTTGATCACAGTCTGTATCCTGAGCCCTCCACAGCTTACCTTTAACCTCTCCAAACGCAGCCTTGGTGAGGGAGAACAAGACTGCGGCGGAGAGCTCTGGCCGCAGCAACGCTTGGATTTTTGCCATCGTAGGCGTGGTAGTAACGGTTGTGGTAGGTGTTGGAGTCTATATGTACCGGAGAAGAAGACGGAGCTCTCAGAAAGGTAACAGCGGTGGAGAACTAGTCCATGCTATGTTTTTCTTCTTCTTCCCAGGGGATCCATTTGTCTGGATAACAAACTATTGAATAGGCAGCCCAGTGATGAGCAGCTGGGGCACCCAAATGTTCCCCTCCCGTAAACATCACCCGCCCAGGGGATAGTTGTGAGGGTTGGAATTAATAATGTGTCTACAAAGAGGGGAGGGCGAGAGGATTCAGACTAATGGATCTGCTGTTAGACAAATTTACCAATAAGGACAAAGTCTTCTTCTGGTACATGACCCATCCATCGGTCTGGAAAGGGAGCACTGGGAACTAGCGAGCAGGGAAGCCACCTGCTCTTTTCCAGAAGATACTCAGAGGCTTCCCACTGCAGCCAGGTGAACGCACTGGGGACCAATCCCTCAATGAGTCCATCAGAGGAGTTGCTGGCAGGTTTCGATACCTCATACTTCTAGGATAGTCAGTCAGGTAATTTTCCTGTGTAAGCGGGCGCAGACTCACCCACCGGCGCCTCCTGCTGGTTGTCCTCAGGAATTAGCTCTCCCAGCCTCGGAGCGCCCTCTCCAGGCCGGTGATCCGCCTTGCCACGGGCCCCGTGTTCCTCCCAGGACCCCGGTGCCCTTTTCTCTGGAAGCTGCCCCCTGGCAGTACCCCCACAGTTCTGGGTCTCCCCCGCCCAGGGAACCCCCACCCACTATCCCCACTTCGCCTCAGTCTTGGCTACTGCCCAGTCCCCATCTAGCCCGTTTACTGGGGCCAACTGCAGTATCAGCCACTCATCACAGGCAACGGGGTTCGGATCTGCTGCCTCTGCCTACCCATGGGCTGCCCCCTGCAACCCAGTCTAGGGTGACTAGACAGCAAGTGTGAAAAATCGGGACAGGGGGTGGGGGGTAATAGGAGCTTATATAAGAAAAAGACCCAAAAATCGGGACTGTCCCTATAAAATCAGGACATCTGGTCATCCTACTCCAGTACCTAATAGGCCTTATGCTAGGCCGCAGCCTGGGGCTTTCCAGGCTGGAGCTCCCCTGCTCCTCAGCCTTTCCCCAGCCCTGCTCCACTCAGGTTCTCTGCTCAGGTCCCTGCAGCCAGGCCCGTCTCCCTCTACAGCTAGAGAGAAACTGTTTAGCCTCTGTGTAGCCTGATTTAGGGTGTTCTGATAATATTAATTTGGATAAGATGGGAATTTAATTTATTAATTTAATTTTATTTAATTTTAATAATAATATATATTAGTGTGGGTTTTAGGCTCGCCAATCTGTTTGATCAGAAGATAAAAGTTCTTGTCCCGAATCAGGCTCCACAGAATTTATAAAGGACCCTCGGGGGTATGACAGGAAGCTCACACAGAGACAGATATAGTCTTAAAGACTTTTTATTAAAATCAATAATAGTAAGTAAATGGTAAAATACCCAGAGTTACAAAGTGACAATTGCATTACTGCTATTCAAAAGATACATATGATAATATAGTATTACATGCAACAAAGCTTTGGTTAACATACTGACACCCGTCCTTGGTAACCTGGTGGTAAGAGACACAGGAACAGCCTTGTGGTTCAAGTTTCTCAATTCTTGAGTGAGGGATGCAGTGCTTAGAAAATGCTAAGCGCGATCAAAACTGACTAGGGTTTACTTGACTGACTTAAACTTAAATCAAAACCTAATAAACAAATGAAGAATAAAACTTAGGGAAACCGAGCTTAGCTTAGTTCCCTTGAAACTTAAAGTTTAAGAAAAACAAGTATAGCCTACGAATAGTAGCAGTCATCGTAGATAGAGTGGAGAAAGTAAATAAAAATAGAGTAAAGTGAGAACGGAGATAGTGAGAAATGAAGATGGAGTAAAGTAAAAACTGAGATAATGGAGATCGGAGATCCTCTATTGAGGTGAGTTACCTCTTTTATAGGGCAAATGCCAGACCTTCTTCCTCTTATGCCCAAATTTCATTCCTCACCCACAGAAATGTTAGGGTACCCTTACCCCATAGGCTAGTATGTATGTGCGTATTGATGACAGGTATGTACGCACATCGGTCTCTTGTGGTGTACTTGTTCAGTCTGTGGGAAAACCCCTGTTTCCACCCTTTAAGGCTATTGGTCCAGGCAAAGGTCTCTAGACATCTGCGTGGGTGTTTTGTCTAATTTTACTTTTTTGGGTGAGGGTCTCAAAAGGTGTTAACTTCGCATTAGCTTCACATACAGGGTTTTGGCCTGTAGGTAGATCTTGCATTACAGCCAAACTTACTTTTAATATAAATTTATAAGCCTAATACATCAAATATAATACATCAAATTTAAACTATAAGAAAAGATAGATATCTACAGGCAAGCAGGTTAGTCTTATAGGCTACATCTGGCTCCCAGCCTCTTATACTGGCCAGCTGGGACCTGACTGGGGCGTGGCCCAGCTGTGGCTACTTCTCCAATCAGTCCAGCTTTTAGAGCTGCAGCCCTCTGCAGGGCTGTTTTCCAGCCCTCCCAGGCAGGAGCAGGTGTCCACCCCGCTACACCCTGAAACAGTCACTTCATGGTCTGCAATCAGATGCTACCTGTAGGAAATATTGTAACCTACAGAGTCTGCAGTTAGGCAAACACAAGTGATGAGCTGTGAAGCATTCTTCGCAGGAAGCGTGTAACACAGTCTGACTGTACCATACAATAATGGGTTACCATGTTCTGGCTCAGGGTTATGCTCTTAATTTCAGATACTCCTGCATGCTACAGTGCAGAAGACAAAGTTCACCTGCAGACAGACTGCAATGGTAAATACCCCAGAGCTGAATTCTGTGACTCCGTCACATGAAGGCTGCAATAGCGCATGTTACACACTGTGCAGCAAGGGGTCACCACACTATTGCTCAGATTTGTGTTCTTGGTTTCAGCTCCACGTGACCAGCACGGTGCAGAGACGGATGTCCTGCTGGAGCGTGAGCATGGAGGTAAGTATTTGACACTGAATTCTGAGACTCGTTCTTTACGCGAAGGCTGCAATAGCGCAGGTAACACGCGGTGTGGCGATGGGTCACCACACTCTGGCTCAGGGCTGTGTTCTTGGTTTCAGCTCCACGTGAACACTACAGTGAAGAGGACGAGGTTTCCCTGCAGAATGAGGCTGAAGGTAAGCGCCCCACCGCTGGGTTCTACACAGGTCTGTGATTGGGACTAGCCTCAAGCTACCCAGTGAGCTGGCTGCCGTCCCTGTTTGAACTGTTATCTGATCGTATCCTGTGAGCGGAAACGTTCAGTACCCACATGTGCAATGAACTAAAGGGGGGAGACCGGACAGTCTTTCTCAAAAAGGAAACATGGGAAAATAGAGCATCAGTCAGGTCTAGAGTAGTCTTCCTCTGAAATGGCTCCCAACACAATGTTTGCAGGTTCCCACACACACACTAGCTACGCAGCAGGCCTGGGCAGAGAAAACAGGCACTCCTGAGTGTGGTTTTAAAACTTGGCTAGCACATACCCACTGAGGAGGCTCAGAAGTGGTTTTTCAACAGCTTAGAACCGTATTTCTTTCTTTCTCCACTACACCAAGTAGTTTGGTGCTTGTCTAGGCTAAGTTTAGATTTCAAACTCCAGATGTTTTACTGTTGCCATGGTTTTGTTTTGTTTTTTTTAAGTGATAAAACACAATTTTAACAATGGGAAAAAGCACACTTTTCCCTCACTCCTCCATAGCTCAAAATTGGCTGAAGAGAGTTTGCTCAAACTTTCCATAAAATTCACCTTCAGGACAGAGAGCAAGGCCAATTTCAGCCCCACAGATGAATGAACGGTTCAGAAAGTTATGAGATGATGAAAACGGGGGTTTAGAAGTGGGGCTCTGTTGCATCCGTATTGGCAGCAGATGAACACCACTGTGTACCCTTTCAAATTCAACCAGCCGTGCTTTTGTTAAGCACTGGTCACAAAGGTGATTTTTTTTCACGCCTCAATAAAACTCTTTTTAACTTACACTGACTTGTATCCACCATCCTGCTGCCCATTGTTTTCTCTGGGCTCGACAACCTACATAATTTTGGGTCATCCAGGAATTTTGCCACCTCACTGCTCATTAATGTGTTATTTTAAACCTCTACACAAACATCAAGTTCAGGTTACAGATGACGACACACACACACCAGTGGTTTGAAATGAGGGCAATAAAGCGTTAAGTGTTAGCTGTTCATATCTGATCCGTTGAGATAAAGGGAGCTTGCTTCTCTGTCCAGTCACACACTTGGGAGCAGACACTCCCTGGTGCTGAGCTACACAACCTTTGTGGGCAACGTGTGTGTAGGAGGGTGTCTGATGCCCTCATGTGGCATGTCCCCACATTCATCCCAAACGTAAGGCAGTGTTACGGTTTGGTTTATGCAACCCCAAGCCCCACCCAGGCACTGGTGCCAAGGTCCAAAGACAGGGTCAGTGAGAGTCAGGGGTCCTCGCTTGGTGCTGATGGTGTGGCAGCAAGGCACGGTGCCAGCTGGGGGTTGGGGCCAGAGGAGCGGCTGGGGGTGGTGGTATTGGCAGGTGATGCAGGAAATGCAGCAGCTGGAAGTGCTGGTTTAGGAGACACAACCAGGGTCTCCCCCCGCCCTGAGTCAGAGCTGATGGCACCAGCTCTTTGCCCAGCACTAGATGGGGTCTGAGGCACAGCCAATGAGATGAGCCTGGAGCCGACGCTGACGGTCCTGATGAGTCCGGGGTGTGAAAGCTTTGCACACTGCCCAGCGAGCTGGGAACGAGTCTCCCCTGGGCAGAGGACACAGTGGCTCTGCACGTCCAGTTCTGGGTGGCTGGCTGGTCACAATGCACAGCTGTGTGGGGTTCCTGGCCCAGCCTGGCTCTGGTGCCAGGGCAAACCCGGAAGGCTCAGAAATAGATAATAGGGGAAAAAAAGGGGGTGGGGGAGGAATTCCTAGGTGTATCCTAATGTATAACCATTAACAACTATAACATTAACAGCACGCAAAGATTTTGGGGGATACCATGGACAGAGCAGTGGGTCTCTTCAGTTCTGGGGTGATGGAGCAGGAACTGATTTGGTTGGGGGATGCACTCTCTTAAACAGCCTTGGGCCCTGAGCGTTTGACTGCCCCCCCTCAATGGACGTGGCTTTGAAGAGGGCCCCACAGTGAAGAAGAACTGTCAAATCTTATTATGAACTCCTCCGGGCTTCCGTTCTGTGCATGATGGAATGAGGCAGGGGGCCTGTGGAAAAACAGTCTGTGGTCCTGTAATGAAATGCGGTATCACAATGCATACAAGGGGGCTGGATGAAAGTCACATGGGCTCGACTTTGCAACCCAAGTAGCATTTTTAATGTGGTTTGTAAATTAATTGTGTAGACAGTATGCGCTGTATGGGGTACATGACACTGATCTATTTGGATCGAGTTGTATAAAATAATGAATGCTACAAAGGTCAGTCAGGGGCTCCTACTTGCCCTTTGTAATAATACAAGGGGATTGCCTCATGGGGCAGAACGAGGTGTGTGGAAAGATCAGGTGGAGGTTGGAAAAGAATTTTACAGAGCGGCAGAAATGGAACAAGGCCAAGGGGAGGACGTGAGAGTTTTGGATTAAATGGGACCTGGGGACGGGAGGGGGATCATTCTCAGGCATGAAGTTGCTGTATTGGGCAGAAATGAATTTCCATAGAGGAGATTAGCAGATTCCTTTGATTCAGTGGGCGCTAGAAATGAGAGGAGGAGGAAGCATGGAAGTTACATTGTCACACTGGCAGCAGGATCATCAATAGCTTTGGCAGAAGCCAGAACAGAGCTGAGTGAACCGAGAGAAGTACCCGGGTGGAGAGAGGGGCACACAGACAATGCAAACATCACCACTAACGCGTATTGCTTTTTGCAGGAGAAGGGAAATCGCTCCAGGACTTCCTAGTGCGCCTGGGACTGGAGAGACACCAAAGCAGAAAGCTGATACTGGACGACATCCTGGAAATTAACACGGAGACGTTAGAAGAGAGTAACCCTCGGACGTTAGGGGAGATCCCGTGGCATTTCCTCAGGAAGGTCATGGCTGTGAACGGGATGGCCAGACGCACAAGGCTGGTACCCGCTGCACCAGGTGACGATGGGATCAGCAAGGATGGGGAGGAACCCTTGGCCGTTATTCCTCCTAGCAGCCCAGCCCCAAGCGTGTGCGTGAACCCCCTGGATGTGCTCTGTGCCGTTCTGTGCTGCTCAGACACGTTCCTGCGGCAGGAGATCCTGCTGAAGATGTCCATGTGCCAATTCGCCCTCCCCCTGCTGCTGCCTGCCCTGGGCACCTCCACGTGCACACTCCTGCTGTGGGCCATGCGGGACATCGTGAGGAACTGGAGGCCACTCTCCTTGCGAGAGAGCCGGGGGTTCAGGGAGGAGAACCTGGTGCTCACGTCACTGCCAACCTTTTCCTTCGTGCGGCTGGGGAGATGCAGCTTGTCCAAGTCCAAAATCCTTAACAAGGTCCTGAGCCCCCCTCAGCAGCAGCACGATTTCTTCATCCATCGGGACATGGAGTCTGGGAACGTCCCTCGGGAAATCGCAGAGGGGTTGGTAGAGATCTCCTGGTATTTCCCCGGGGGGAGGGAGAGTTCGGATCCTTTCCAGGAGCCCATTGCGGTTATTAACCTGCGAGGAGACATTGAGTCCCACCAGCTGCAGTTCCGCTTCCTGGCAGAGATCTCCTCAGCTGTGTTTATATTCACTGAACATATCAGCGAGAGAAAATACAAACTCCTATCATCACTGCAGAGCTTGAGACCAAAATTATACCTCATACTCAACCCCAGAAGTACTATAACCAGTAAAACACAGGGATTCCTCAATGAACTGGCCCCGCTGCTGAAGCTGACCCAGTCCCACGTGCTTGTGAAGGATAACACTGCAAACGATTCAGACTTTGTGACAAGGCTGCAGGACACCTTAGCACACCTGACGAAGCAGCCCCAGAGAACAGTGAGCATAGAGGACATGGCTGTGACAGCGCGTGAACAAGGATTCCAGGTAGACGAGGACTGCGAGGAATGTGCGGAAGCGAGAAAGAGAGCAGACGAAATCGCTGGGGAAATAGAGGACGTTGGCGAGTACAAAGGCAGAGCACTGACACTCCAAGGGGTCCCATGTAAACGCCTGGCTGAAGTAGAAAGAGAACTCTGTCAAATGAAGAAGCAAGGGGAAATCCCCACAGAGGATTATAAATCTCAGCTGAGGCGGGAATTGCTGGAGTTACGGACCCAGCAGAACGGGCGTGATCTCACGGGCGGGATGGGGACATTTAAGGCATCACTAGAGCAGCTCACTCCAGTGGAAAAACACTACTTCCTGAAATGGATGAAATTCAGACTGGATCACATTGCTAGGAAGAATCTTTCCAAACTGCGGGCTGAATATAAGGAGACATACAGGACTCCAGGCCACAGCCCCGAGCAGCTAGCAAAGCTAGATGAATTAATTGCAGCCAGTTCCTTAGGGGTGGAGCATTTCATGCGGGAGTTGGGGCAGTTTTATGAGGCAGAACACTCAGTGTGTAAGGGAGGCGAAATAGCCCAAAGCCAAAGGCAGTTCACCCATCTCCCAGGCATAGCCGCTACCCTGATGCTCAGTGGATTTGCTCTAGAGATCATCGATGGAGACGCATCCCACGTCCCGCTGCAGTGGGTGACAGATGTTCTGACCGAGCTCCATGCCAAGCTGGGGGGAAAGTCCAGGTTGCTGGTTCTGTCAGTGCTGGGCGTGCAGAGCACCGGCAAATCCACCCTGCTGAACTCCATGTTCGGCCTGCAGCTGGCCGTGAGCAGCAGCCGGTGTACGCGAGGAGCCTTCATGACGCTCATTAAAGTTGCAGAG